AATAACAAATTCTTAGTCACTCAAGTCAGGTGGTTATTTAAAATAGTGACACTTACAAGATGGGCGGATGCTAAAAATCACAAGTTCGTCGTCCAAGTTTCTGTTCAAGGCTTCAACATGGGGGTTGGTCTCTTGTTGAATGACTGAGGAGAATTTTGGACGTTGATCGTGGTTGTTCTGAACCACCGGCTGAGAGGGAGGAGGAACAAGTGATTTATTTTGGGGTAAATGAGTGGTTGGAGTTGACCGGGTTGCTGATGTCAAAGAAGGTAGACTTGGAGGAGGAGGTAAAGTTGATCGATTCTGGGGTAAGGTTGTGGTCGATGTTGAACCGGTTGCAGATGTGAAAATGGTCGAAGGAAGACTGGATTCAGAGCTGTCACTTTCAGCGTCTGAATGCAAATCTTCATGATATTCAGTGTCCTTTCCTGATCGGAGAGCATATCGTGCAGCTTGAGCGTCAATTCCTTCTTGTTCTTCTTCATCAAGGGTGTGCCGTTCAAAGGTGTCCCGGTCATAAATCAAGTCGATCGCCTTTTCCCGCCTTAAGAACTCGACAAACGATTCGTAATCTTCAACAGATCCTCCTTTCTTGGTGCCTAACCGACAAAAACTGAAGTGCTCGACACCAAACATTTCCCTGTCCTCAGTCATCTTTGTCCGGAGTTCCACTTTACCGTTGAACTTGTTGCAGAGCGTGTCGATCAGCTCTTGAAAAGAATCAGGATTTGACCAGAGCACAAACTGATTGCTTCGAATGACCGATTGTGAAGGGGCATATTTGCCTCGGGCCCACATCTCAAAGCCACATTGGACCGAAATCTTATCGGGAGGATTCGTAGCAGGTAGGGCACCTTTACTTGCCGGAGCTCTTCTTGCAACTGTACGTCCGACTCGGTTGTTTGGGTAAGGTTGAGTTTTTGAGACTCTTGAAGCTCGGGCCGATTCGTATGCAGGGTTCAAGATGGCTGGGACCACAGCTGTGTTGGTAGTAATAAGGTTACAGGTGAGTTACAACGAACTATATGGGATTTACACGCATGAAATTGCATACTTTGACTGCTGCCGGTCGATCCATTCACCACTGGGTTCACGGCAATAGGAAATGCCATGGAATGTGATGCTTGGGCTGATTCGTATGCAGGGTTCAAGACCGCAGGGACCACAGCTGTGGTGGGGTATTAGACAGTAGTAATAAGGTTATAGGTGAGTTTTAATGTTTGAAGTAGAACGATATGGGATTTACACGCATGAAATTACAGACTTTGACTGCTGCCTGTCAATCCATTCACCACTGGGTTCACGCCAATAGGAAATGCCATGGACTGGCCGAGTGGGCTGGGGACAGTAGGTGTGGTGATTGGATTGGAGTATAACGCTCTGGCCCTTTGGATTGCCTCTTGCCGTTTAGATTGGAGAACCTCTTGAGCCGAGGTCAATTGGCCAGTTGGAGGTCTGATTTTTGGAGGAGGTGCTGAGTTTGGAATCATTTTGTCGACACAGTCGTTGCATAATCCACGGAAAACCACGGGAGATTTTCCACACTGGAAACAGAACATCTTTTTTTCTATGCAAGTTACGTTAGTTGTGTTTGGCTATTAAGGGTGCATAAGTATGGGATTCTGCTGCTTACTCTTGATCTAGAAATGGAAAGGACTGGGTCGTCTTGATGTTGTGAGGACAGGACTGGATCGTCTGGAAGCTGTAAGGGAAGGGCTGGATCGTTGTCTGGATGTGACTTATGCAAGGCTTGTTTTGTCCTTATGTGTAACGAGTAACGGGTAACACTATGGAACGAACAGAATCTATGTGTTTACATTTCTGATACAGGTGGGGAATGTGGCTTCTGTAGTGCGCCATGCCCTGTATGATTTTCAGGCTGTATTTGACGTTTTTCAAAATTGATGGCTAATTTGACGGTTCAGTGCCATGCATGGCGGTTCAGGGGCAATGATGGCGGCTCAGGAGCATGGGTGGCCAATTTGGCGGTTGGATTCATTTTTCAATTTGGCCATTCTGGCGGTTCAGGGGCGTCATTTGGCGGTTGTTTGGCCAAATTGGCGGTTCATCCCCATGTTTTCATTTTTTTTGGCCAAAATGGCTGCTCAGTACCTCCATACCTCTATCACGATATATAAACTGCCAAGCTGAGCTTGGTGGTCTTGTTGTTCTGATAGCATAGAAGGGCAGAGCTTGCAACTCCATCATCCCCTTCTCCATTCAGAAAAAGGGTTTCACAACCACTTTTGAGTCTTACAGCGCGCACTGCGCAGCAGGCACATTTTTTAATTAATTTTGTACTGCTTATTTTTTATTATTTTTTGAAATTTTAAATTTATTTCCTAGGTTTCAATATGCGTAGAATTCAATGGTAGAAAGCATTTTCCATAAAAATTAATGGTTCTTTTTGAATAATGCAATTAGACACAATTTTTCAATTAATTTTTGACAGATTAATAATTAATTTTCATTATTTTTTACCTTACTTTAAGAGGTGTGAAATTTGATGGTAAAGTGTACCCCATTTATTGCATAATTAAATTATACAAATTATGATAATTTGTACCATATACCAGACTTATTTGTATGCAAAGTTGATATAACCATCCATTTTCAAAAAATAATGAAATTTAAGCCTGTAAAAATTTACATGAGTTAGCTGCAAGAAACAAAAAAAATATGGCAAAGGAAAAAGGAATTAGATTTTTTCCATATTTTTGGGAGGGTCACAGGCTGTGAGCAACAAAAGGAAAAAATAAAATAAAATGAAATAAAATAAAATAAAATAAAAGAAAAGAAAAGAAAAAATAAATAAATCAATAAAAAACAAAAACTTAAAACCACTTTGCCAACTGCTCAACAAAAAAATTCAAAAGCAAAAAGAAATATGATTTTTTCCATTTTCCATATTTTTTGGAGGGTCACAGGCTGCAAGCAGCAAAGGAAGAAAAAATGAAAAATAAATAAATAAATTGAAGGCTTGAAGGCCGCAAGAAATTCAAAATCAGTGTTTATGCAGCTTTCTGCATCTGAAATTTCCCCAAGAAACTTTCATTTTGCAGCCTGGGGGTCATATTGGGGCGGATATCCGCGGGTATCCGCGCCGGATACCCGCCAGGGCAAGCGGGTATCCGCCAGAGGATGCGGATGCGGATGCGGATGTCTGATTTGGCTGAAAACGTGAGCGGATATCCGAATCCGAACAGATATCCGGATGTGCCGGGCCCATCTCTACTTGAAGTCAAAAGAATTTGTGAAGTGGTGAAGAATAGGTCCCAAAGAATGAATATGAAAAAATAAAAACAAAAAACAAAGTTTCAAAATTTGTGAAAAATAAAAAATAAAATTTATTCATCTCAAAAGCTATGAAATTCATTTTGGGGGATTGAGAGTGCTGAGAGAAAGGAAGATTGGGATATTAGAAAAATGATTATGAATGAAAATTTTGGAAAAATTGCTTTCCAGATGGGTTCAAAGAGCTGTTGATTGGGGCATTCACCAGCCCACATTGCAGTAAAGCACTAGAATTTACTGTTTTGGCTCCAATCTGGAAAACCAACCTGGACAAACCTTTTTTGGTTCCAATTTTTTTCATTTATAATCATTCTTCCCATGTTCCACTCTTTCTTTCTCTCAGCACTCCCACTCCCCCAAAATCAATAACAAAGCTTTTGGAAAAAAATATTTTTATTTTTTATTTTTCACAAATTTTGAAACTTTATTTCTTGTTTTTATTTCTTCACATTCATTCTTTGGGACCTATTCTGCACCAATTCACCAACTCTTTTTACTTGGAGTTTGTGCTTTGAAGCTGTAGAACCCAAAACAAGCAGCCAAAAATAACGGTCCACCCACTGTACAGGCAAGATAAACTGTATCAATGGCCGATAAAATGTTTTTGAGATTCAATTGGCCTCGTGAGGAGGTTTGAACGTTTTTGAGCTCAGTTTTGAGATGAAAAAGAAATGAAAAAAAAGAAGTTGCAAAACTGTTTGAACAGTTTCAATTAATTTTCAAAAACTTGTTTATAATTGGGGCCTGAAACTTGAGTGCGTAAATTCCTCAACGTCTTGCTCAGCCATATCAGGGCTCAGTTCAGAAGCCTGGTACTTCTGTCGATCAACCCGCTCTTCTGCATTGTATTTTCCCCCTTGAAGCAACTTTTAACCTGTAGCCATCAAATCTGATTTACTGTTCCCACTTAGCTTCACACCAAAATATGTAATCAAGAACAAGAAAATTCAAATCAACGCTCCAGTTCCATCTGTTGTCGAGCTCATAATAAAAGTTAGGCTGACTGTAGTTTATCTTATCTTTTGCTTCAAATAATCTTAGTCAGAGTTGCATTCTCGTATGTATTTGTAGCTCTAAGGCTTTAATTATGAACAGCTTTTTGAGTTTTTTTTGAGAATCTTTTGAGTTGATCGTTTTGAACTCGATCTCAAAAAATATTTCTTATGTTTTTTCTCAAAAAGATCTCAAATCAGCTCGGAGGGTCGATTTGAGTTTGATTTTTTCAAAATATCAAACATTTTTCTTCTTTTACAATGGCCAAGAGGTCTGTGTATGGGTCTGTGTACTAGGATAAATGCTACAGAACCCTTGTGCTGAAACACCAATCACCACCCTTGCATAGCGGCCGATAGCGGCACTCTCCTGTCTTACCTCAATTTCAGCTTTTCGGCTCAGATGTTGCTCCTTTCCCCAGTCCGCCAGTTAGAGTTCTGAGCAGAGAAGTCTGCAAACGTCAGGATCACCAGGGACTTTTGGGCTAAATCAGAGCTTGGGTCTATGATTACACACTGTTATCGAATCAGTTTTGAAAACTGATCAAGCTATCAATTCCCTAAAAAAATAAAAGAAACAAATTTCAAGACAATTTCAAAACTTTTTGAAAAAAATCCCAAAAACATGTTTATAATTGTAGCCTAAGTATCTTCTTAACAGCAAGTCAGATTGCCAACCGATCGAGTTGACCGTGCAGATGCTTATATATCAGGATGAGCCATCTTCGACTCCAGACCGCATCACATCACCTAGGCCATTATCCTGAGCATATTTCTCACTGGAGCTTGATCGATGAACAATTAGAAATCCTCCGGAACAAGTCAAGCTCTTTTCAAGATAAGTAAGTCAGACACCAATTTCTTTTAAGAATAAAACAAGAAGTTAATACATCTGTCATCCCAATAAATATCTTAGACATGCAGAGTTGGTTTTGGCTAAGGATGCCGAGCTGTTTGCTCATGGGCGTTTCTTCAGAGAGATATCCCACCTGAGAATGTGGTGATGCCAAGCTTTACAAGATGTCACTGATGCGATGATTGTCAACCCAGCTTAATCGTCCCGATGTAATCTAAAAAAAGTCGTTTCTCCTCTTTCATTTCTATATTTTATCTTTTACCAAATACCTGTTTCCTATCCCCTTCTGAAGTCTGTTATATTTATCTTAACCCCCCCCCCCCCGAAAAAAAAAGTTGATGTTTTTGTTCATTCCCCCAAAAGATTCAAAAAAGTCCAACAATTGATTTTGTTCCTTTCACATTTGTATGACAAGAAGAATGCTAAACAAGAAAAAGTCGTTCTGTTGTTGTATTTCACCGAAATCTTCACCCTATCTCGTCCTGGAGATGCATCGCAGCAGGTGAAGAAGAAGATATGGAAGGAAAGGTTTAGATTGAGCGAAGTTCCAGTGGCAGAAGTGATGAAGTGATTCTTGGATGATCGACTTGGGTGGACGTCGAGGCGGGCCCTGATCGGCGTCTGCTCAAACCCCGAGCTTGCCCCGGGAGCTCGTCCGCCAAGAACTGGATTCCACTAGATAACCTCACCCAACAACGAAGATGTGACGAGGACCTCATCATTCGGATAACAAAAAACGACATGATCAGACTGTTGATCAACCGCCACCATCATCAGAAGCAGCAGCATCTCGCGTTTGAAGGACTATTCAGTCGACCTCTGATCACGAGCCAGCTTAATCGACCGACGAAAGATGTGAAGGCCTCAACTAAGAAGTATTCGACCAGTTCGTCAAAGCAGGAAGAAGAAGAGGAAAGAAGAGGACGAACAATGCTCGATGAGCCGATCGGAATAGCGGAAGCCTTACGGGCCCGATATGTAAGACCGTTGAAGACGATCTATGGACGACTGGGGGCGAAGAAGAGCGCCGCGAATGGAACGACGGCTCGGAGGAAGGATGCGGGTGAAGAAGAGGGCACTGCAGAAGGGGGAGGCCGGTCGGAAGAAGCCAGCCAGCAGCAGCCTCTGCCTGAGTCGATCACCGAGGCCTGGCGGCTCGGTCTCCAGGGCACCCATCCTGCCCGGTTCTCCCATCTCCGTGCCCGGGCCGCTACCCCGCTAGTGGTCTCCTCCAAGCCTGATCGGCTACCCACTTCCGATCTTCCTTCCTCCGCGGACTTGCTATCGCCCAGTTCCCCTTCGGTGGAGGTCCCGGATCCCGAGAGCCCTGGGGCCGAAGCGGCTAAGAAGAAATCCTTGCTCCAATCTTACTTGGGTCAGCAACTCGTTTTCTTTTTTTTCTCTATCGTTTGCTAAAGCAAGTCATATTGACTTTTTTTTTAAAAAAAAAAAAAAAACACGATCTATGTACAGCCCTCGATAAACGGTCCCAGAAGATAATCTCCTTCTCGCTCTTTATCTGGTCCCTCTCTGGGGTCATCTACTTTACCTGGTTCTCTCCCTTCCAATCCTCTTCTCCTACTCCTCCGATTATTAGTAGTGCTCGTACTCGTACCAATAAGATCCTTGCTTCGTCTGCTAAGAACTTGGACGATTCTAAAGCTTTATCGGCTTGACCATGGTGTCTCTTTTTTTTCCTTTTTTGACGAAATACATCGATCAGTTTCTTCATTCGTATGTGGAATACACATTGTAGAGAAAGGGATGTCGATCAGTCCTCCTCCTCCTTCTGCTTGTCTTTAGTTCTATGTAACATCAATATCTGCAATGTCATAGTCCAGACAACCGAGTAGGAAGTGCTTTTTTGGTTACTGGTTTTACCATGTACTTTGCAGATGTGTTTGATTGTTTTTTTTTTGGTTTGTATTTTGAGACTCTGGTGAGGATTGGGTTGAAAGCTGTTTTGGAAGTTGGGACGACGCCCTGGCTGCTTGAGTGCTATGAAGTTTCCTTTCCAGCTGCCTGTGTAGGGTGGTAGCTTATATTCCCATTCCAACCAGACCGACTCTTCCGTTTCCCTCGATCGCCATCATCATCCACATCCTCAACAACCACCTCGCAACCACCCTGAACGCTGTCCCCTCAGGCTCTGAAGCTTGGTCTGGCCTGATTCACTTCGGTCGTTTAGGAGTCTCCTACTCCACTATCATGGCCTGGAACTAATCATCTCAGCCCTAACAACAACAAGAAAATCCTCATCAGACGCTCCGATAGTAAGCTTCTTCTTCCACCCAAGAATATTATTAATCATCCACCTATTTCCATCTCTCTCTCTTTACTCAATCATCCAGCTATACAGATCCATTCCCAAGCCATATCCGTATTCGGAAATCCAGCCGATCACAGCCAGACTAATTACTAAATACCATGGACGAACGAGATCACCAGGAGCAGAAACCACTCGATCATCTTCGCGAACTCAACCCACTCCATGGAGTGATGACCCCACCTCAATCCTTGGACGAGTCCCTGTCGATGGCCAACAGAAGACGAGCTAGACCATTCAGCATGCTCTCCTACAACAATCCCATCCTCACTCAACCCTCCAACTCCCCCTCACCACTCTACCCAGAACCACACTCTCGTAATGCCTCCTTCAGCTCAGCCCCTCGCTCACTAGCCCATCCGGTACTCGGAACCCCTTCGAAACGGCCCACTACCCGCTGGACCGTCATCATCATCCCTCCTGCCCTCCTGCCACACTCCCCCCCTCCACCTCATGTCTCTGGTTTCGCACATGGCTATGGCGCCTCTGGTCGTTATTCTGCTGGCCTCTTATTACCCCTTCAAGCAACCGTTGAGTCTATTGGCCTTCCTTTTTTTTTCTTATCTTATTTGCCAGACAGCGCAGGCTGATCATCTTCCTTACAGTTGACCCTCCAACTAGCTTCAATTGCACGTGAATTCTCGCTGCCTTCAACCGGAGGCCTCAGTCTTCATCTCTCCATCTCCTCCGTCGATCAGCCTCCTATCCCTGGCCCTAGAGTGACTGATGAAAGTTGGAGCGTCTTGTTTGGTTGGGCCTTCGAAGACAATCCTCCAGCGTGTGCTGGCCTCCAAGCTGCCACCGGTTTACGTGAGTTCATCCGCAATTGAAAGTTGGTATCCCAATCAAAACCTGATCTCTCGAGTCACTTCTTTCCTTCGCATCCACAGCCATTGCCGGTCGGTTGGAGTTTGACATTGACTTGAAGAAGGCGCGTTGGTTTGATGCCTGGGCAGCTGCAGCCCAACCATCCAATCGAACAAGCTCTCAAGTTCAACAGTCTCTCAAACTCACCTCTACTAACTTCACCCTCGGCCTCGCTCGCGGTTCAGAACCAATGGTAGCTTCCTCTTCATCCCCAGGCGTCCGAACCCTGATCACCTCCACCCGACGAAGTAGCTGCAAGTCCTCAGCCACAGACGACAGCCTGCGTGATCATAACAAACATCTCCCCAACGGTCAGTCCGAACACCTAGAGGGACAACCCAGATCGCCCACATCGATCAAGTCAACCCAAGCCTCGCCATCCCGATACGCCTCAGGAAGCCAAGACAGTCGAATGCCCGTCTCCCCGGCCACGATCTCATCAGCCGAAACCCATCATCGTCAGCAACTCGAACGCTTGGTTGAGTCCGAGGAGCTCTCGGCGGCTGAGGAAGATAACTGGCACATCCAGCAGCAGAATATGCTCCGCCAGGCTACCTTGGAACGTGAGCAGATCGAGCTCGCCGATCAGCTCGAGGACGAGCGCAAGGTGAGGGAGGAACAAGAACAGTCTTCCCAGTCACATCATCAGCTCGCGATGTCCACCACCCTTCTTGAAGGATCATCGTCCAAGTCAATCGGCCCTTCGGCTGTGGTTGAAGCACACAGCCAGCAGACAATCGACTCGTTCAACCGTCCTCATCCAGATCTCGCCAGATCGATCGGATTTCAGGAAACCGGGTCACCACAAACGACACCGGTTCGTAACTGGCAGCCAAACGAAGTTATCATTTCTCTTCAACCTACTGAATCAGCAAACCACCCGGACATGACGAGGAAGGAGTCGAGTAACTACTCAAGCGATCGGGTAGAGATGGAAGACTTATCTGGTCCGATAATTTCTGGATTTTCCCCCACTGAAGCTGCACATGTTATTGGCGACAACTCAACTCGGCAAAATGTGACCATCACCACGTCGGAGTCAACCGAAGCAGAACCTTCGATGAATCGGAGTCGCTCAGCTGATCACGAGGAGACCTCTATAACCTCCGAGTTGTTGACTGACTCAGAGACTATCAGGGCCGAGCAAGATTCAGTGGCTTCAGTTCAACGCATAACATCCAGATCTCCTGAAACTCAAACTTCGATGGCTCGCAGCATTTCAGATGGCGTTCTAAAGACCAAAACACAGGAGAAAGTAGAGGGTGGCAACACGCTTTCTAACGTTGGCAGCTTGCGTCCTGGAGCTGAAGAAGTAGCAGGAGATGAAACCAGGAGCAAGCGTCTTTCGGAGCCCGCTCGCCAGCATCAATCCGCTGAAGGTTCATCGTTTTCTTCTACCCTTGGGCGTTCCGTGAATCGATTCTCTGGTGAACAAGAATTGATTAAGCGTCGCTTGAAAACACAGCAAGGAGATGAAGAGACACAAAAGTTGATCGATGAGATGAACAGATTAGTCAACGAGAAGGCAATGGCCAAGGAAGCCATGATTCTCTCGAATCCACCCCTCAAGATGGTTCGCGATGATGAACCTGCCTTGCCTCCTCCAGTCAAGGAAACCCCTAGAGCTCCTCCGCCACCACCCACCAGATCAAAAGTCATCCAACTTGCCAAGTCATTTGGTTCAGCTGATCATAGTCCATCCACTTCCACTCATTCATCTCCCAAATGCAGTGGTCGCACACTTGAAAGCTCGCCGACCATACATCCAGCACCGCTTCCTCCCGCAAGATCTGAGCCCGATCTCGAATTTCTTGCTCACCCACCCGTCATCCAAGGTCCTTCTTCTTCCCACTCAACACCCCAACTCAATGGTCAACGCTCGGAAGATCATCGGATAGAGCCATTACCCGCCAATCCTACTTCAAAATCATCGCCATCCTCAGTCACCTCGTCTCCTTCCACACGCTCTTTATCACTCTTCAAACCACGTCTCTCAATTGGCAACAATTTGCTTTCAAACATATTTCGCAGTCAGACAAGCAGTAATGTTGCCGATCCACCCCCCGTCGTCGTCGATCCGCTCGCCCCTATCTTGCATTGCTACGAAAGCCCTGATGGGATGTCCCAGGATCTGACCAATTACATCATTTCTGCTCAAGATCAAGCCCTTGAGAGACATCAAAAGTTCACTTTAGCACTTTCCGGTGGTAGCTTGCCTAACTTGATTGCATCTGGTTTAATTGAAAACCCTAAGGTCAAGTGGGAGAGTTGGTAAGGTTTTTTTTTCCCTCACTCCTTTCCAATTTCATTGCTGATAACTCTCTTGCCCCAAAAACCCTTGTAGGAAAGTGTTCTTTGCCGATGAAAGGATAGTACCGCTGGATCATGAAGACTCTAATTTTGCTAATTCAATGAAGGCATTGTTTGAAAAGGTCCCCATCGATCGAAGTCAAATAGTGAGTATCATGGGGCTTCCGCCAGATGACATAGACCTAGACGAGATGGCCCCTGTAGTTTCGTCGATCTATATGGCCCAAGTGTTGGAGGAGTTGGATTGGTCAGCAGATGGCAACCAGCTACCCAGGTTTGATCTGATTCTGCTTGGCATGGGTCCGGATGGACACACCTGCTCGCTGTTCCCCTCGCACAAGTTGCTGGATGAAGAAGCGATCGTCAGCTGGTGTAACGACTCTCCCAAGCCCCCAGCGCATCGGATCACGATGAGCTTATCGGTCCTCAACGCCGCCCATGAGCTTGCCTTCATTTGTGCTGGTGCAAGCAAAGAAGAGGCCCTCGCCGCGGTCCTCGACAAAGATCCGTCACCCACCAGGCCCGCTAGTCTTGTCAAGCTTCCCCACAAACCCATCGTCTGGTTTGTCGATCAAGCCGCCGCTGCAAAGACCCAGTACCCGTGTAGCGCTGCTCCGGTGTCTGCTCATTCGACCAATCTCCCTGAAAGCCCTGTAAGATCCTTTGAAACTTCCAACCTTGGAGGCCTTCAACTGGAAGGCATAGAACCAACTCCGGCAGTGCAGGTTCAATCGATGGACTCATCTGACATTGCTCAACAGGGGGTCGTTGATGACCTGTCGGTATGTTAACATTGTATTCTACTTCGTAGCATGTGATGTTACTTGACGTTGAAGAAGTGATCGCTTACACCACCCTGTCACACCTCCACTCCCTTCTATGATTCTTTGTTTGTCTGGACTGATTAGGTTTCACAGTGTCGACCTGAAGACGTGCCAGCCAGCCAGTTATCGCCCTTGATAGGCAGGCTGAATGGCGAAGCGGTTGATTTGGCCAGTCTTGGTTATCCTTACAGTCTTCGAGTTTACCCGGCCGTCTACCCATACATCAATGAATTGCTCTACTGCCCCGCCCCGCCAATCATCGAGCACCTTCCACGTTTGCCACAGTCCATCAGCCTGTACAAGGCTGCAGAACTGGAATCAGTCACAACTAACCCTACTGCCAGACAAGAGATTGTTGAGGAGGTCATCGATGTGTCGGACAACTCCGTCAAAGAGACTTGCCAAGAGACTAACTCAAAGCAGCTTGTTGATCTGGATCGAGGGGTTGATCTAGACGAGGTGGTTGGCTCAGATCAGGTTGTGAACTTGGACCAGGTCAAAGATTTCGATCAAACAACTGATTCGGCTGGGGTTAAAGATTTGGAGATTTCGAAATCAAATCTCCTGGGCAAAGTATCAATGTCAAAGGTTGATCTAGGGTATCCGCTCAATCTGAGCATATATCCCTCTGTCTATCCTCATCTGGAGGAGATGTTGTACGCTCCTCTGTTTTTCAACCTGGAAATCAATACACCACGGACCGGAAACCTTCACATATCACCGCTTGTGTCCCTTAAGCCTGATCTTGTTGAAGAGGTGATTGACAGTCATGCCCTTAAACATGATCTTGTTGAAGAATTGATTGACAGTCGGAAGGCAGTGGTAAGCATCTTTTTTCTGCTGTCAAAATATCTTGCTTTCACATTACTTACACATTTTCTTATAGGCACCACAACTCGAACAACCCCCTCCTAGTTGTTGGCAGGTTGAGGAGTCGTTCGGCTATCCTTACAATTTAATTTTGTATCGCGCCGTTTATCCCCACTTGGAGGATTTTATGTATCCGCCCCTCCCTGCACGCCTTGCCGAGGTAGGCATCTATATCCCACTCAGTATTCCCTGCCTTGCTAATCACTGATGGTTGACATGTTAATCATGATGATTATTATCTTCCCCCTCAGGTACAGCTCACACGGCAAGCCAAACGAGCACCAGCACCCTTCGCACCCTTCTCGGCTCAAATCAATGGGTCCCGAGGGATCGCGTACCAGGTTTCACCTGGCCTTGAATCGGGTCCGACCAGTCCCTTGATCGACCAGGCTGCGCAGACTACAATCATTGAGCCCAAGAGTCCGGTAATGGCTATGCAGACCACCCTCTCCCCCGCATTCCATTCGCCTTTACAACCAACCCAAGTGACTCCAACAACTAGGATCTTCACCCCCTCTTTACAATATTCTCAGCTCGACTCCGAGCATCGTGGTAGTCTTACTCCTGCTGTATCTCCTTTGGCTTTACATGCCTTACCCTCTACTTTACAGCAGGAGTACTTTGGTGAAATTCAAGCACCACACTATGAGGTTAGTTCTTGAAGGACCATTCGATCAAGACTATTGTAGAGTCCTTTGCCATGGAAGTGCTGACCTATGAACCATTTTACAGTCCGAGGAGAGTGATGGTGTCCCCAGATCAAAGCTTCCAACCAGCCCTGTTGAAATCATCCCATCACACCTTCCCCAATCATTCTATCCCACAGACAATCCCGAACCCATCCAGCAGGCACGCAAGATCATCTCTCCCTCTCTGCCATACACACATCAGGTAACGGCCACAGACGGAGTCCCTGTTGCTGTTCCCGGAGCCGCCTTACAGGCTTCTCCCTCAGCACTAGGGATTGGCTTTTTCGGTGGGACTGGTGAGGCCTCGACGACGAGAGGAATGAATATTGAATCTGTCGAGGTATGTGTTGTAACTTCTTTGGGTTTCGTTGATTAGAGGCTAAATTAATGCCTCTCTGCATCGTTTTCTTCAGGACCTCCACAAAGCTGATGAAGAAAATCATCATCAAGTTGAGACGGACCGGGAATCTGAAGGATCTTATTCGCAGTTCTCCAAAGGCGATTTATCAATGAACAGTCAGACAACCCTCCATCAATTAACCGATGATGACTGGCCGCCTACCCCTCCTTCACCTGATCGGTTACCATCGCCCGACCTGATGTCCAGGTTGGCAACGACGCCATCAACAGCCAATCATATCAATGGATCGACCGACGCCAATACAATTCAGCCTCAGTTTCCTAGCTTCAAATCTCATCAAGCTCCTGCCATTGATCAGTCATCAAGCGCACTAATCGAGTCTGAACAGGAGGTGCACATGTCATCGATGGCAGAGGCTAGTTTGATCACCCCAAGTGTTGCACATTTTCACGACCAGGCGGTGGTCGAAATCCCCGAAGGTTCCAACGCCCATCCCGAAGATGCTGTTGAGTTCCATGCAGAATCTACCCCAAGGGCTAGCGCCCAGTCACAATTAGAAGAGATTCCTTATATGCTATCTACATCACCAGAGAGCATAGTCGAGACTCCGCTGGATTTGGATTCATTACCTGAAATCCTACCAACTGTTGCTGATCCTCATGTCGAGGTTTCTCCACTGCAGCCCGCTCTGACTAATGGATTGGGACTTGAGCTGGGTGAAACTGAGGTCAAATCAGACAAACTTTCTACACCAACAAATTCTAGTCACGTTGCACTACTTACCTCACGTGGCGCTGAAGGGAATCAAGGCGATTTGAAGGATGCGGAAGGATTGACTCAAACGCAATTGGTGCCATCATCAGGTTTGTCTGAATGCCAAATGAACTCTCTCCGTTTACTAGGTGAAATGGATGTAGATGACATGGTTTCAGAGATATCGCCACCTCGTCTAGCCTCACCTCCGTTAATGGAGCGTCTCTTTTTAACGCCTTGTGCTACGCCTACCTTTGCAAAACAATTTCCTACTTATCAAGCCGCTCTCACCACTGATGATGAAGAAAGCTTCTTGTCTCCTCCTAAAATAGAAGCGGATTGGCACATTCCTCAAGTCTCGTTGTCTGACGCTAGTGCGCCCTCGCCCCCGCGAACTCTCCCGCTTCCCATCCATCCACCACATTGTGAACCTTCAGAGAGGGGCAGTCTGGTATCCAGTGAGCTTTCAGTCAGGCAACACCAGTCACACCACTCAACAAGCCCAGAGGAAGTATCAACACCTACAGCAGCTCCCATCCTGGATGATCTAGTGATTCCATCGACTAGCCAGATTGACCCAGCCGCAGATATGATCGAGGAGGCCCGCTCGGACTCCCCTTTCTTTCTTGACCAAAGTCCGGGTCCTGCTTGCGTTGACCAAGGTTCATCTGCCAACTCCTCCCCGGTCCACGCCTTAACGGTCGATTCGGTTGAGCCTGTCGAACACAGCATTGCTGGCCCTGACTTCAATCAGCAATTCTCGAGCCAGCTCAATTCACCAATATTTCCTCCACTTAATCTGACGATGGACCTGTCTGACCCTCTTTCTGCCGCAAGCACATGTTTGTCTTCATCTTTTCTTGTCTTTGTCTCCTCGCCCTTGTTTCTAAATTGATTAGTTCTGATCGTTATCCGTTTTTTTCTTAACAGCTCGCTACGCCATGGAAGATGATACGGTAGAAAGCGCGGATATAGGTGCAGAGGTAAAATTAATTCTTATTTTTCTTTTGACAAGTGAATGAATATTGAAGTTATGTTTTAATCACAGCAAAGTCCATCAGATCAGTCATCGTTTGAAAATCAATCAAATGGGTATAATCTTGATCGGATTCGCGCATTGAGTGGTCAAACACCGGTGACAGACAACAGTGAAGACGTGGAGAGTGAAATTCAGCACAATGTTTCCGAATTGTTACCCGCGATCACCAAGCGTCCTCCCACGCCCACAAACAATGAACATGAAGTGACAGTGGAATCAGTATCTATTGACGATGCCACTCCCCCGCCACCATCACCAATCTTACTTCCGTTCCAAGACGTGGCCGAGATCAGTGAAGCATTGGCCCAATTTGTCTTTGAAGCACAAGAAGTGGCAATTCAAAGACATGGGAAATTCCAACTTGCACTAGGCGGATCGATCTTACCGCAGATCCTTGGTGAAGGGCTCGTGGGCGATGATCGGATTCGATGGGAAAGCTGGGAGCTTTTCCTAGTTGAAGAATCGATTGCTCCGCTTGGATCGCCTCATTCAGTACTGAGTGCAGTCACAGAATCAATCATCCAGCACGTTCCGATTCCAAGGAGTCAGGTGCATTCAATCGCCGAGTTGACGCAGGCAGATATTGAAGAGACCAAGACGATCCCGGAAGGATTGGACAGTTTGGCCGACAGTTTGGCGGATGAGTACGAGAATCGTTTGATTGAGTTGTTTCCGGAGGCCAGCCACGAGACGGGACAGCCGCCGGAGTTTGATCTGATCCTGATTTCGGTCGGGGAGGAGGGCCAGGTGGGAAGCCTGTACCCATCGCACCCGATGCTCGGCGAGTCGAACTGGTTTGTGGCGTGGCTTGGCGACGCCTGGGATCCTCCATCCCACCGGATCACACTCACCCTGCCCGTCCTGAACTCGGCTCGTCAGTTCGCGTTCCTCGCCGTCGGCGCTGAGCTTGCGGAGATCGTCTCCGACGGTCTTGATCGCTCCATCCAATCCGATGTCCCCATGGAAGAAGACCGTGTTAACCCCGCCGCACTCGTTAAATCTTCTAACCTTAAACCGGTCGTGTGGTTTACTGACTTTGCTGCTGCTTCGTTGACTGATTACCCTAAATCGGCATTCTGGGATGAACCTTGATTCCTCCATCGAACATTCATCTCTGTTTAAAAATTTTCAATTAATTATCTTCATTTTTTTTTTATCTGTATATCTGTATGGAAGCCTTTCTCCAGATTGTCACTTGTTGTATGTACTAACAAATAAAACAAATCAAAGAGGAAAGGAAAGCTTTAATGTTAGTTTGGAGGAGCAAAGGGGTCACTTTGTCCACAGATCTATTGATTGCATGTTTTTTTGGTGTTCTACTTTTTTATGACTCAGATTGATTTGATGACTGTTCTTTTTAACGATTTTTATATGGTTTTTCTCTTCTCTCATGAATGTCTCCTTTCTCTCTTGTTGGACTGTTTATTCTTTTTCTTTTGATGCAATTTCTTCCCCTCTCATTCTATTTCATTTTAAACAAGGAACGTAAGATTTGGTTTTATTTTTTACTCTCATGAATTCTTATTACATTCTATGAATATCCAGATGAAGGTGGTGATTTTTCTTGTGAGCTTATAGTGACATCGGCACTTGTGTGCTCTTGTTGATCTGGAAACCTTACTGTGATGAATGACTTCAATTCATTTTTCAACTGATGGTCAGTTTTTAGATATCCATGTCAGATAACAAGTCATCTATGCATTCATGCATGTACACACACTCCATGTTGATTGTGCTTTGGATTCAACAGATTCTGGAATGAATTTTTTTTTGGGGGGGGCCTTAGTTAATCAACTTCCAAATATGGGAGTTGTCAAGGGGACTGCATGGAGACCATCCCAGGACGTCCCCAGCCCAGTCCCCCCCCCCTCTCCCCCTTCAACTTGGGAGCTGTACCTCCCATTCCTGCCCTGGGGATGGGAGTCAGCTCCCAAGGAATGATAATAAAAAAAACCATTCCCCAGAAAAAAAAAAACAGGGAACAGGAGGGCTGTCATGATTTGTAAACACTCAGTGGCTGGGGGATCCTCCCAGCCATTGAGGATTGTCCCCCCCCCCCTCTGTAAAGGATTTTACTTTGGTTTTATGTGTAATTTGTCAAGTGTAACTTGGCTTTCAATTTCTCACTGAGATATTGTTCTGCTTGTTTAACTGAGACTGATTTTACAACAAGAAACTAGAACTTGTGATTTCATGGTGTTTTGCAAGTGATAACAAAACATAACTCTTGGGCTGAAAAAATAAAATAGTCAAAGGGGAGAACCAGCACTGTAGGGTATTTAAACAGATTCATTCTGAAACTATTCTTGAGGTTATTGCTATCTTTTGCTGAATTCTTTATAAAGAGAGTATAATGTCTACTACACAACTGTACAATAGCTCATCCTTTTCTAGTTTTTATACATAAAAAATGGAAAATACAACCAAGAAATAGAAATAGAAAAGCAAAGAATAATAGAAATAGAATGTTTCCTGATTTCAAAATTTCTTTTGGAGAGTTTCTGAGTCTGAGTTTGACAAAACAACCCACCATGTCCACTACAGGAGTACCCAAACTGCTTTATCTGTAGGAGTTTGCACAGTCAGTTCCAAATCCTTGTGAAATTTTTCCAGGTAAGGATGCATGGATTTAGCAAGAGGTCCACGCTTAACCCAAGAATTATCCGCTGGAGAGCCTTCCCTACAACTTAAATTTACCAAATATTTTGGTATGCCTGCCAATCCTGCCGAGAGCTAGTTCTACAACCCAGGGGATTGGTTGGGACTTTCCTTCCCTGGAACAACCTAGGGTCAACATACAGAAACAACAGGGAAGAATGAAAAACTGGGTGAACAAGTTGCATATCAGGAGGGCGGGATAAATGAAAGGCTTCCTTGCTAACTTCCTTCAAATTCTTGAAAGGCCCCAGGAACTTGAAATCCAGTTTTCCTGAAGGTTGTTTGGTGTTTATATTGCAACACCCAAGCCAAACCCAATTTCCCACAGAGTATTCCAGGGAAGGGTGGGATTGTCTGTCAGAGTGGTCCTGTTGAAATTTTAAGACTCAGGCGCGTAAGAGGATGAGGGCCAAAAAAGGAAAGGACTCTTCTTTGGGAAAGGTTCACGGAAAGGAGTGTGAAGAACCGATGATTTTTATTCACTGTAGGTAGGCTAGCTTAAGTAGACTAGTTACAAGTGGTCAAAATGTGGTTTGAGAAAAATGAATAAGAAAAAAGTATTTTGAATAAAAATTGAGAGAAGATAAAACAAGTTCTTGGAAGTAACAAACTATGCAAAACATCTCATTCTCTTTTAGTAATGTCAGATGAGTTAATCAAGAAAAAATGTTTTAAATCACAGATAACAAGAGGCGTTAATTCTTATTAATCAATCTTTGATAAATCAATAATAAAGTCAGAAAAAAGAAGAATCCATCTTAGAGACATGAGTAGTTAAAAAGGCTGATTTACTTAAGGTTCAAATTTGACTCAGAAGGGGGCTCAGAATAACCAAAAACAAGCTACTTGAAGAATATAATCTAGTCTGATTTAAGATGACTAGAAATGGATGAAGGGCAGAGAGAGACAGAACTGAGGAAAATTCAACAGGTCCTTTTGAAACTCTTTGGCCATTTTCAAGAAAAGACACAAATAATTCTGAATCTCTGCAAGTTTTCCACTAAGCTATGAGTGGCTTGAACCAAAGACCCATCAGTAACAGTATTCAATTTCAGGTGGAAAGCAAACTGAGCAAATAATGGAGAGTAATCTGTTGATGCCAAGGTAGTAGTGTTGGGGACTAGTTTTTCCATAGGGAGAAGAGATACCCAATAGTCCTGCCAATCAGACACAAAGTGACAAGTGTAGGTTTGAATGGTCTGATTTTTCCTCTCTGTCTGTTCATCTGTCTCAGGGTGCCAAGCTGTAGAAGGAGCAAGTTTGATACATGTAAGCCATTGAACCTTGGCCCAGAAACCAGGCACAAAAATAGCCCCCCAGATTCTCAGACTATCTTGTTGGGTAAAATATGGTATTGAATGAAACTATCTAAAAACAACCTTTGCAAAATCTTCTGCAGCCCATTTTTTGCAAGCTGGAATCAAATGAGAGGCATAAGTAAAATGATCCACAATAACCAAGATTGAGTCAAACCCCAAGGAAACCAGAAGTTTAACTATGAAATCAATGACAATGATACTCCAAGAGAACTCAGGTAGAAGCCATGAGACCAGGGGGTTTCTGGTTGGATTTTTGTCCATTCACATAATAAGCACAGCTTGGTGTACTTCAGCCTCAGGGCATCTTCTCCAATACCGGGACAATTGAGTGTTGGATTCCACAGTACTTATATTTAAAGAGAAGAGATTCTTGTGATTAAATCACGATAAATCACCATGAATATTGGGATTTCACTGGCTAGCAAGTGACATCAAGGAGGCTTTGGTGGAACCTTCACTGAGGCTTTGGTGAACTTTGACTTTGTAAGTGTCCAAACCACCCTACCATCCCTTTGTCTACTAATGAAATATGCATGTGTGTTAGGTAAGCTTCAAGTGAAGTATGAACTAAGTTACACATGCAGCCTCTTGAAATTTGACATCACTTTTCAGCAGGTGACTTGACAATTTTTTGTGGTGAAGAACATTAAGATTCAAAAGATGTGAAATTGATAAGATCAAAGTCTTTGTTAAAAATTTTCAGACAGTGATGTTTAGATGATTAAAATCAAGAGCATCAATCAAAGAGATTGAAAGCCAAGAATGCTGGAGACAATGACATCAAAAAGCTGTGAGGTCTTTTTTGATTAATTTGAAATTGAAATAAAAAGAAGTTCAGCACTAAATTCTAATCAATCCGTTCTATTTTCAAAAATCTCTTTAGATCTAATACAGAAAAAAAAACATCACAAACCAATCCATCATGGATAATGTCGTTAAACCATTATTTTGTTAGTAGAATTTAAAAAACAAAGATAAAAAAGATAAAAGAAAAACAAAAGCTAACTCTAAATTTCTTTTTGTTGAGAACAATTGAAATATTAAAACATCTTGAAATTATTCCTTTCTTTCTTCTTAAAATTTATGTGAAGAGTATTATAAGAGAAAATAGAACCAAATGATTTTTAATTACTTAACCCAAAACAAACAAACAAAAAATTTATTTACTCTTTGTTGTCAAAACTCAGTTAGTATTATTGAAGCTTCTATCTTGACCACATTCTTGTACTGCTTTGAGGTACACATTCAACAATTTCATTCTTAACTCTTAGGCTCAAAAAGATCACAACTTGACTGAAATATGATGAGGGATTGGTTTTCTGCAGTTTCTTTAAAGATCCCACCGGCAGACACATAATTGTGAAAAATTCTGAATAATGAGCCGTCTCAAGGACATTGGGTTTCAGGCTTGGAGTACTTACTAGTGAGGCTCTAATAGTAGTCATAGCCGTGACTAAGGAATATATAGAGCATTTTGGCTGAAGTAAAGGATGAATTAGTATCATTGTAGATCTTGGCACGGCTCAGAGAATGCTCAATGAGGCTTAAACATATCTTCCTGCAGCAATAAGCCAGGGCAAACACTTGAGGGATCTCAGAGATGGGAAAAGACTAACACTTCCTGTTAAAAATTGGGGGAACATTGAGAAGTTGGAACAGTCTTGTAAATTTGTGTGCAAAGTCTTCAGAGTGGCTTAAGGCGTGGATTCAACAGTAAAGCTCAAATGAGAGGCTACTAGTGATAGGATAGTTTAGGCAAAAGCCTTCTATTCAGGTAGTGAAAACTGCTATACGGAGGCGAGTAGTTGACAAGTGCTGAATATTTGGCTGCACAGATAGACTGTACTAATCTTAATTCAGTAGTAGTTTGGCTCATGGTTCAAAATTGTAGTGAGGAAAAGTGATGAAATTAAAGGCAATGAGACAGAGAGAATTTTTCAAGGAGAAATTTTGGGCAACAAAATGATTTTTGTTGGAACAGTTCCGGGTCGGAAAATGAAGGAAAGAACTGATGTTTTTAATTATCATGTGTAATCAGTTTGTTAAATAGACTACATACACAACAATCAAAATGTGGTTTGAATAATGAATATTCAGAATGCCACAATCACAATAATGAGGAAAAAGAATAAGATATTTCAGAGTCATGAGTTGAAGAAAAAGAACTACTACTTAGGGTTCGTAGACTACAAAAGTGTGATCAGTCATTCAAAAAACATGCTACTTAATACTATAATCTGGTCTCATGAAGAGTGATTAGAAAGGAAAAGAAAGACAGTTGAAGAGGTTATTTTAGGGATGAGTGGAAAAGACAGCAAAATTTCAACAAAAAGTTGAGGGAGGAGACTAGCGGCTCCTTTAAATACTAAAAGGAGTGGCTGGCCAAGTTGTGGTCATCCTATTCCTTGGGGACAAGGAATAGGATGGAAATATTAGACGTTTAATGTCAGCTCTGTGTATGCTACACTGGTTTAAATAATATAAAAACCAGGTGCTATCACTGTGCTGAAGGACTATCAAAGAAAAAGATTACTCTTTTTCACCCTTTATATGTGGTCCAAAATCCACAAAGGTTAA